TGTAACTTTTTTATTTTTTCAGATAAAATAACGAGACTAGGTACGTTAGTATATGACATAAATCAGGATTGATTGACGTATTAAATTGTTTTTGATCACGTTATATCAAAAGTTGTAGTCATTTCCGGTGAAACAGGAAGTGATTAAAAACAACTGAATACGTCAATCAATCCTAATTTATGTCATATACTAACATGCCAAATCTCGTTTTTTTAACTGAAAAAATTAAAAAGTTATAGGGGTGAGCCACTTTTGAGACGCACCCGGTATATATAAAAAAAACAGCGTAGAGTTGGAAAATCAAAGCCAACTCCAACGACGTTTTTTTTTGTTAAACTTACCGACATTTGCATCTCCCTATTCCCAGCATCCTGATCGTCTGATGTTTTGGCATCGGCCCATATGGAATCAATGGTAATGCCCACTTTACCTAAACAACAAACAATATAAAATAGCTGTATACAGAGTATTCTAAAAGAAATGTGAAAAAAATTAAGAGGGAACTGATTTCTTGCATCACTCGGTTGGTGTATTGCATATACAGGATGTAAAAAAATAGTGTACCACCAAACTCAATAAAGCAGATAAAAATAAAAGAAACAGATCCTGTAAAATATGTGTAAGAGTACGAAATTTCAAAGAAAATAGTTTATCAATGTTCTTAAAAATAAACGAAACATATTATGTTTATATACCTTTACTTAGGACATATTATGTAAATAAAAACTTTTTGTTTTATTTTTATCTGCTAAAGTTTGGTACACTATCTTTTAGACCGATTTAAAAAATTTACAAGACTGACTCACCTCTCTGAGACTGCTTAAACTCGTCTTTGTATATTTTGTAGGCTTTGGCGTGCGCTATTAACACGTTTTTCCCACAAATGTAGCTGCCCACGCCTCTGGATACGATTCCCGGAGCTCCGTCCCCATTCTCGTAGGTATCCACGCAGATGCTGGAAGGCTCGTTTATGGTAATCCAGGTTTTTACCTTTTATTAACAGAAAAAAGTATTAACAGAAAAAGAGTCAAGTATTTTAAATTGTGGTGATTCTTGACGGTGATGGTGAACTTGATGGTGATTCTAAAAAAAGAGTGGTAACATTTTTCAAAAAAAAACTTTTGAAAGGATATTAACAAATAAAAAAAAAAGTTTGAATCTCAAAAAAATGCACTTTAATGCATATGTTGGAGGCAGGTGCCGAAAATTAGACATATGGCGATTATAATTAAATATATCCACTATATCCACAAAGTTACGCGGAAGAGTTTTGATTGCATTGGTTTCAACTTCTATGCGGAGGGTATTAATCTTTTGTTGTTATATTATACCAAAAAAAGATTAACCTCCTGGCAAGACTAGTATGGACAAATCGCCATATATGTCTAATTATTTTGGACGTTGGCCAAAAAAAAAATTCGGCGTTTGCCTCCAACACATACAAGACGTGTATCAATTATTTAGGGTTCCGTACCCAAAGAGCAAAAACGGGAACCCTATTACTAAGACTTCACTGTCCGTCCGTCTGTCACAGAGGTCTGTCTTAAGAATCGATATAGGTAGAGAGTTGAAATTTTTACAGATAATGTATCTATGTTGCCGCTATAAGAACAAATATTAGAAACAGAATTAAATAAATGTTTATAAATAAAAAAGTACTTCACTAAACATTATCTTTTAAGTAAGAATTTTACATAGAATCTTTCAAGTCCTCGGTGGCAGCGTGGTTAAAGCGTTAGGACTTTACGCTGCTATGACGTTGGAGCCGTAGTAAGGCAGGTTTTTTTTAATAGTTTTTTTTTTACATATTTTTACATATTTATTTTTACTTTTTACATATTTATTATTGATTAATACAATTTTTAGTAATGTGTGTCTTCATTTTTTTTAGTTACTTATAGGTACGCGTATTCAAAATTTCAGCTAAGTCGGAAATGAATGGTACGGAAACGCACTTGACCAATTTTATAAAAATATCTATAAAATCCAATCAGAGTTATTATAAAAAGAAATTATAAAACTTTACTACCCTGTATCTAAAAAGTTAAGATATTAAGGACCATTAAGGACATACATTCATATGGATTTTTTTTCTTAGGACTGATCCAAGAACCTTGGGCAGACCAAGTCTACAGCCTGGATCTTCTGGTGTATGAGGGTCTATGGTAATATTCTAGGGAATACTTACTCGATCTCCGAAATTGCTGAACGCGACACGTGCAAAATCAGCAAACCTCTCGGGAATTATGGTATTTGTCCAGCCTCCTAAATCTTGAAAGGTTTGAGGCAGGTCCCAGTGATATAAAGTTACCTACAAAGGGTAGAAAAAAATACACAATAGATATAATAGGTTCAACAATATTATACAAGCTGAAAAAATGATTAAACAGAATAATGACCTTTTGAATCTTTATGGAGCGTGTTCAAAACACTGAATCACAAAATTTTAATTGATTAATATTTGTATTCAATTATTAATCAATTTCTTTCTTAACAAAATATATTCTACAATTATTATGGATATTTCTTACCACCGGTTCGATTCCATTCTCCAGCAAAGCGTCAATCAAGCCGTTGTAATATTTAATTCCAGCAACACTAATGTTCATGCTATAGCCATCGGGTAAGATTCTGGTCCAAGACAAAGAAAATCTAAAAGAAGTTAATCATAAAAAACGTTTATTCAAAAATATCATTAATTTTTTACATTACCTGTAAAAATGCACACTCATATTCTTCAGAATTTCAACGTCTTCTCGCCAGAGATGGTAGGAATCGCAAGCCACATCACCATTTGATCCGTCTTTAACATTGCTGGGTTTGATATGGGTGTACCGATCCCATATGCTTTCCCCTTTGCCTAAAAATATTTTTGTACACATTAATAATCTTATTTACTTTAAGAAAATCATCATTTCAGTAAATAGAATAAAGTTTTAAAAGTATACTTGATTTTGCTTACTTAGAGGTACTTACCATCAGTTGTATCCGCCCTCAATTTGATATGCTGCTGTTGCCACTCCAAGCTTGAATCCCACAGGAATTGCAAGCAAAGTACAAAATATCCCAGCAAAAAACACATACACAAATAATAACTTCATGTTTTAAATACCTTCCATTACATTTGATTTGTTTTATCAATAAGCTATTAGTTTATCCTGTTTCCTACTTCATAAGTGAATACATTATTTATCTCCGGTTATAGGTCACGGCCTGTATAGGAGTGAGAGCATCACACAGGAGAGCATCTATAAAACAATAAACTTTCTTCATAGTCGTAGTCACTCATTTATAATATACCAACTACTAAATAAAACAAGCTATGAGAGCGACTAGCGTTTAAGGTAATTTTTTTTCAATAGGGTTAAAATTTAGCTTGCAATTTTTGAAATGGTAATGACCATGATTTGCATGATTTATTTTTAATATTTTGGAACCTTATAATAAACAGAAATAAATACCGTACGATCGGAAAAAAACGGCGTCAGTGACGGCTATGAAATGAAGATCGCAGTCATTTTATATGTAAATCAAAGAATGATGTAAATTTATATGGGAAATGTTATCGATCGTTATTTCCCAGCCAACTGGACGCCGTTTTTTTTTCGATCAAACGGTATAATACACCATAATAACAGATAATAATACACTATATGCCTTTTAAAACTTAACTGATGCTATGTTTACCTTTTATTAGCTTCATAGAACATGTTTGTTGGCTTCTTTACGATTGCTTTCAATAACTTTACCCATTATCGCTGCTGAACGTCGCATATTTCTACGCAGGTTACGCATTTTCAGTTCTAATTATCAATATAGTTATTAAACGTTTCTTGTTATCTGTATTTCTCTTGTATATCTGATATTTTTGTTATATTTTTGAACTCTGATTTAAGGTTAGGAGAAGAAAAACCGGTTGCGGTGATTGATTTTCCAACGAATTTCCTGTAACGTTCAAAAATAAGGGAAGAAATGAAGAAATACATCAATTAAAGTTACCTTATTTTCGAAAAATTGGAGCAACGTTACTTTAGATATGCCGTTCGAGAGCAAAAACCATATTATTTTACTGGCAAGAAATTATCCAACTTCATTTAACTTTAATATAACGGTATCTTGACGCCTTTTTTCGACCCCATCTGTGTTATTACGATTTCTATTTTGTGGTTATTACCTGTTATTACCATAGAATGATCGTCGTTCTCCAGTTACAGGATGGTTACCTGGGTCCTGATTCGTTGTGGAGCGCGACACGACGTTACAAAAAATACCGCTCCAAAATCGCGTTACTCAAATACCATCTCAAATACCAACACATCACTAATACGCAATGCGATTTATTGATTTATTAATTTATGAATTTAAATTAAATTTGTTTTCCCTTAATTTTTCTTCAAGCCAACTAAAATAAGAACTGGAAATTAATTTTCTTCTCGGTAATTTTGTCAAGACGATGAAAAATATGACGTCTCCTAGGTCAGTTTTCAAATTGTTATTTTAGCGCTCTGACTGAATTTCTCAGTTAAAAAAAAACAATGAAAAGGCTTTTCTCCGTTTCAAAGAAGCCCTGATAGTTTTAAGTAACTGTTCGTATCATTAATTTTTAACTTTTAGTTATCTTCAGTTCTAGGATGGATGTAAGTCTATGAACGAAATACATTTATTTATTTATTGACTCTGTTTCAAAGAAGCCCTGATAGTTTTAAGCCAACTAAAATAAGAACTGGAACCTATTTTTTTTCTCGATAATTTTAGCAAGACAATGAAAAATATGACGTCTCCTAGGTCAGTTTTTAAATTATAATATAAACGCTCGGGCTGAATTCCTCATTTAAAAAAAGCAATGAAAGGCTTTTCTGTTTCAAAGAAGCCCTGATAGTTAGTTTTAAGTAACTGTTCCTATCAATTACTTTTAACTTAGTTATCTTCAGTTTTGGAATGGATGTAATTTAGGGAATATTGCAGTTAAATCAAACATCTTTATTAAAATAACATAAGGATTTAGGTCTATACATTTATTCATAATTATTTTTTTACAATTTGTTCAACAACACTTGATAGTACCAGCAAATAGTCTTAAGTAAAATAGTATTACAAACTAGCAAAGCTATTTTTTATCTGTACCATAACTACTAAGTGAAAAAATAAATTATGAAAAAAGTCAGTTATATTTTAATTTGTGTCTGTTTCAAATCAGATATACAGTTTGATCAAAAAGTTCTATGATGAAGCAGAATTACATTGATCTTATTAGGGAAATAACAATTGAATTAGCTTTATCGTCCAAAGGGTGCTTGATCATAAAGCATTCTAATCATAGAGTATATTTTTTAGTCTCTCCAAAAAAATCCTTTATGGGTATTTCGCCACTGCACTGCAAGAAAATCTACAAAATAAAAAAAATGCAGTGGCGAAATACCCATAAATGATTTTTTTGGAGAGATGAATCCGTCACATATGTAGGTATAGACATTTTTTAGTATATTTAGTGTTATAAATTCTATGCTGAGTGGATCTCTCTTGATAATCAACTATTAACTGCTTTTGAATAGAGCATAGTATTGGATAAAATTTATAAAATAATAAGTGATTACTGATTATTAGATGGTTTGGACCAATCAACAGAGAGAATGAGATGATCATAGCCATGACCATGAAGACGGCTGATGGCTTTAGCTGCATCGGTTTTAAACTTGAAATGGATATAAGCAAACCCTTTGCACAATCCTGTCTGTTTATCTTTAGCCAAAAACAATTTGTGAATAGGTCCAAACGGTTTTACTAATTCTTCCAAATCAGTTTCAGTTGTAGAGTCGCTAATATTAGCAATTCTAATAGCAGAATAATTGTCATCCCTTCTGGGCATATTCGGGCCATCGGTTCTTTTGGTTGCCCCATCTCTTAAACTTGGAGGAACATATTTGGAACCTCCTGGTTTTCCAGGTTCTGCTCCAGGCACACCTGAATAATAAATTAATATAATTTTCTAGATTTGGTTAGTAGAAAAATATCAATTACTATTATGTGATGCATCTAAACTATTTTTTATAGTGTGGACATAAATAAAGTATTATTATAATGAAATAAATACCTGGTACTGGGAGCTTCTTGTCATCAAGGGGTTTGCCAGCCATAATTCCTGAATCTTTCCAAGGGCACTTTGAGGTCCAGTGATCGCCAGAGCAAACACGACATTTAACAACGTTCTTGTCACCCAAAGCTGAAAATAACTAATTTTTAGTAATTGACGATATTATTATGTGCCATCGAAAACCTTTTAGTTTATCTAGACCCTCATCCTCAGGTTTGTTATCCTCTTCCTTGCTGGATATAAATTGCATGTATACATCTTCTCCAACGATTGTTGTGGCAGGATTTGGACCTGGTTTATCGTTAGAAGACTCTCCAAACTTTTTCCACGTCTTTCTCAATGCGATTGATTTCGATACAACACGCTTCTCAATTTTATATGTACGAATTATTTTGACCTACAATTTGTTTAAAAATTGTTTCTTCAAGCATAACATATTAAATATACAACTTACTTTTTTATTATCTTCGGTATATTTATATTCTGTTACTATTTTTTGGCCATTCTCAACGACTTCTGTTGAAGGAGGTAAAGATCCCCCTTCCAATTCTACCTCATCAGCCCAACTAGATTTTACTTCTTCGGCAGCAGGCATATTTGCGAGCGAAATTAATTTGAGGACGATTAATTTGGAACACCGATTTTCGCCGATTTTCTATTAAAATATCTAAAAAAAATAACAAAATTCTTACAATAGTGAACCAAACTACACATGTATTTTAGCATGGATGGATGTCAAAAGTCAACATCATAGGTCAACATGAAACGTCAACATAAATTGGGTTACCAAAGATTATCAATCCATAATTCCGCATTGCCACAGATGACCTTTGGTTTGAATTTTCTCACAGCCCTGGCTTGCTGGCCTTACTGCATCTCAAAGTTTTTTTTTCTCCTATCTGTGGCGGACTTCCGAAGGTGGCAAGTGCCCGCCACAGATTGGTTGGCTCCACGAGAGAAGTGGAACAACCCTGAATGGCCATCCAGCTGATGTCTGTCAATCGAGGAGGAAGAATGTTTATTCTGTGGACAGATTCTACCTTTCGCGCCAAGATTCAAAGGCGCTAAGAAACTGTATTCTCATGTTTTGTAATAGTTATTTAGTTTGTAAAAATTGATCGAGTTAATTAAATGACTTAATTATTTAAGTGTGTCTAATTTGCTATCCGCAACGGCCACATAGGTATCTCTATATCCCGCATGTATCTAAAATGTCAGTCATGGGCAGTATTAAAATCTGATAAACAATTATTGTACTACAAAGTGAAATAAATAAAAATGCATTGTCTTAAGCCAAGTTTATTCAACGTATGAACAAATAAAGAGATAAAAGTAACGACATCGGCTTTGTAAGCTAAAGTACTTGGTAAACCTGGCCGAGTCTCTATAGACAATGTTTAAGCTGTTGTCTTCTGGCTCGATGGTGACGAGAGCCTGTTGCACCTCGTCCTCAGTGGCCACGTACTGCGTCGATGCTCCCACGATGTCGCCTCGTTTACCGCAGCCAAAGTACATAATTAGGTCGAGTTCGTTTCTTTTTTTCCAGTCATAATCAGTGAGCAACTAATAGAAATTAAATCATGACTTTATTTAAATCAAGAAGTAATACTTACCGCATAGCTACCGGGTGTCCACTTTTGCAATTCATACTTCATTGAAGCACCGGCTTTGTCCAAATCCAAATCAGTGTAGTCGTGCAACAATTGAAACATTGCAGTTGATTGAAACAAATTGAAAAATTGCTCCAGTACGTATGGAACATTTTCCAGTTGAGCAGTTTCATACAGCAATCTATTAGGTGGCCCCATTTTTTCCCATACTATACCTACACATAAGAATTATCCACATTTACATAAATACATTATATAAGTACCCATATTTCTAACCAGTACTTTCCAAAGTAGTAAGAATTTCTGTAAATGATTCGTCTTTTAAAAACTGTTTCAAAGACACCTGCGATGTTTCTTCAATATAACTTTGAACAGATCTAATCACTTTGTACTCTAAATATTCATCATTAATCCAAGACTCTAATTCTATATCTACTGTTTTTGCATTGAAATAATTATCACTATATAAACTCTTATTAGATGGTTTGTAAGATGGTGCAGAGAATATTGGAGGTTTTTTTATATGAAACCAACCATTAATTGACAGTCTATATTTGTCCATTCCTACTATTTCTCCTACCTAAAATAGTTAACTATAAATTAAATACACTTAAAGTAAGGCTAAACACTAGAAAAGCTTTAAGATTACCTGGTGATATGATTCATTAGTGACGGGAAAAAATATAAACTGATTATTGGATGGAGCAATATCATAAACTATATCTGATGGTTGACCATCCGAATCTTTATTGAGTAGTTGCAAACAACCACCATTGTTTTTTTGCCATCCAGTTTCATCCATTAAATATAAAATAAAAGCCACCATTCTATCTTCCCTTTGGTCATCGTGTACTAAAAGATAATCAGTATTCGTGTATAGACTGATTGTTGCTGAAATATGTGATAAGTTGTAACCAGTTATAGAACTAACCTAAAAATCCATATATTGCAAATACTTTTAAAATTCTCTTAAAACTAATCTTAAAAAGAATTACCCAATTTAAAACGTCCTTTCTTAATAAGTCATAAATGGCTGTAATTCTGTCACCAGAAAGGTATTGAAGGTCTCTACTTTGAAAAAATTCATATAAATCCATGGTCCTCAAGTGAAATTTTAAGTCATAAATGTCTTGTCTCAACTTATCCAAAAATTTTCCATTCTCTATAAAATTCTTAACTACACATACTTTGAATGGATAGCAAATTATTTCAAAACCATTATCACTAAAGTTACTATTTTTATTCCAAAATTTTTGTATGCTTTGAACAAAACTGGAAAGAGACAAATTTGATCTTAGTGATATTGAAACCTTTTTTCTTTTTTCTGGAATATCTTCACTAATGCAGAGACTAATGTTTGAGCAAGTTGGCATTAAGTGACCTGAAACAAACACATGAAAGTAACAAGCTCACAATGACAAAGAAAACTTTTGAATTTATTTCGGAAGTTACTGGAACTATGAAATTTAAATATAAAGTAAAAAATATCTAAATAAATTGTAGGTATATATATTTATATTGTCCATATCTATCAGCCATCTATAACATAAGTTAATAAAATAAGATAATTACATCCAATAAGCATTTTTGGAAGTTTAAAACCTGTAAGAATTGTACAATCATTATCCCATATATCACACTGTTCATCATCTAAATGAACCTGATATCTTTCTGTATCCATAATCTCCGACTTTTGTTTACAAACAACTTCCTCGGTCAATTCATAATTCATAATTCCCTAAAAAGAAAAACCCATAAGAAAAACACTGCATTTCGAACTAAAATACATTTTTGCTTTAGACAATTCTCATCATCCATGTATCATCCCTCGCTCTATTAGTGGTGACGTCGTGTTGCGGAAGGTCAGTGTCGCAAAATCTAAACAAAGCGTGAATTAACCCACTAGTAATCCGTTTTTTTCTCGTTATTACTGTTTCCTTAAGGATAATAATTGTATTTTTCCAAGTAAGTACATTTAATTTTGAACCGTACCAGTGCACTCTACAGTTAATAAATTCTATAATACTATGGAAATTTGTGTTCTTTATTGTTTTAACATAACCTCATATTACTTATCCCTATATGCATCCTTTTATGTAATTATACCTATGGTAAACGCTTATATACTCACTCAGAAAGACACAAATATCCTTTGAACAGAGTAATATAATAAAAAATTAAGAAAAATTAGATTATCCCATTATATTCTTGCTTTGTTTGGATTTTGACTTGACTTGACTTGACCTTCGGCTACATGACGTCACACTAATGGAGCGTATTCCAAGAAACTTTCTCTTCTACTACATAAAACTACAAACGATTTTGAAGATTTTTCAACATTTGTTAAAATAAAAAAGGTTTTCTTTGTTACATTGCGCTCAATTGTCTACTTTTTCTGGTTAATTATTAGTACTACAAAAAATTGAATTTACTACAATCAATTGTATCATTTGTAGTTGATAATAAGCCAAAAAACGAAAAGTTTACTTTAAAGGGGGTTCCAACATGACGGAGCTCATGCGGAGCTCTATACAAAATTCTGTAAACTTTGACTATACCTTCTCTATACCGCCAGTAGATAGGTCATTTATTTTATAATACTAGAGTCCGTGCCGATAATCTCAGGGTGCAGCCACACAGGGTTCGGAAAACTACATGTTACTTTTAAAAACTACATAAACTACATTACATGTAGTTAATGTAGTTTAGGTAGAGGATGTAGTTTATGTAACCTATGTATGTAACTTTCAAATATCAAAGGTTTGAGGTGAGGTTATAATAAGTTGAAGCTTTAAAAACACATAATGTATTTAAGAAAACAGAAGAAATATGGCTTTAAATATAATATTTACATCATATTATCTCTATTTCACCTCATACAAAGGAAAATTATTCAGAATATCAATACATAGTTTATTAATGTAGTTTTCATGTAGTTAATGAACGGGAAAAGCCGTAGTTTTTGAAAAAAAACTACACGTAGTTAATCAGGTAAATTACGTCTTAATTAACTACTTCCGAACCCTGCAGCCACACTATCCTAAAAACGGCGTATCGGCGTAACGGCGTAACGACCTTGAATCGATTTCCAGTAATTCTATTGGCTGAAATTTTTGACAGATAAAATTTCTGACAGATGATTGTTTCAGCCAATAGAATTACTGGAAATCTATTCAAGGTCATTACGCCGTTACGCCGATACCTTTGCCGATACGCCGTCACACAGCACATTTTCACCAAAATTTTGTGCGTGCACTATTCACCTGTAGATGGACGGTAAATTCAAAATGTTGTATTTTTTTAGAATACAAAACAATAGCTTAAGGTATACAAAAGAATATGAAGCATATATAAACAGACTGAGGCATACACTCAATTTACCCAACTCCAGAATGAGAAGAAACACAAAGATAACAACGAAAAAGAGAAAGAAGATATTTAAACAATAGTTTAAAAAGTTAGTTGTTGCTTAGATACATTTAATAAATGATTAATTAACAAAGTAATATTTTTAATTTTAGGTAAATTCACATCTCAATCACCTGTAACCAGGGTTCGGAAGTAGTTAATTAAGACGTAATTTACCTGATTAACTACGTGTAGTTTTTCTTCTAAAACTACGTCTTTTCCCGTTCATTAACTACATGAAAACTACGTTAATAAACTATGTATTGATATTATGAATAATTTTCCTTTGTATGAGGTGTAATAGAGATAATATGATGTAAATATTATATTTAAAGCCATATTTCTCCTGTTTTCTTAAATACATTATGTGTTTTTAAAGCTTCAACTTATTATAACCTCACCTCAAACCTTTGACATTTGAAAGTTACACACATAGGTTACATAAACTACACACTCTACATAAACTACATTAACTACATGTAATGCAGTTTATGTAGTTTTTAAAAGTAACATGTAGTTTTCCGAACCCTGCCTGTAACTAAAGACATCCAGTAAATGGACTTTGGCAACTTTAATATTCCCATTTTTACTGAAGAATTTCTTGATCACAATAAAAGAAGAGATGCAGAATTAAGGTACGTTAATGCTATAATTTTCTGAGTAGTATTTCAGATTGTTCTTTTATTTCGGTTTTACATAGCTCAGAAAAATCAATACAGATTACGAGCACAGAATGCCACTCTGACTAAACACATTGAAAACGGCCATAACTAAGCTGGAAACGGAGATTTCACAACAGGAAAAGAATATTGCAACAGCATCTAGAGCATCTTAGGGCTACTCTGGCCACGGGATTCGGTGGTGTTAAGTTACCAGGTACATACATAAAGAAAATATTTGGAAAGTAAATAATTTCTTTATAGGCATTTTTTTGTTATGTAGGAATCAGAGAAACTGCTTCTTTGCAAAATATTGACAATGACGAACTTACACTCGATGTTACTGGAAAACAGCAGTCACAATACGAATTTGTTACAAACGGTCCGTGGCAGAGTTGGAGTTTAATGGATGACCGACAGTGAGGGCTTCGAAAAGGAAAAGAAAAGCAAACAAGTTTTTTTAATCGAACTGGCACTAATTTATTTTATCGATTTTGACTATCGGGATGAGTGTGTTAATTTTACTTAGGTTTTAAGTAATTGCATTATTTTAATTCTTGCTGGAATTTATATAATAAATTGCTGGTTTTTTATAATTGTATACATATATTGATAAATTAGATGGCTAATCTAAGATTGTATTAGGTATCTTGGACTAATAAATTTGCCAAAAATGAAGAACGTTTATTTTATTTATAACTAAATCAGTATCACACTTTTTTTTAAAAAATTATATTTTTTTGAAAAATTATACTGTTTCTGAAAATAACGTTTTTTTACATTTTTATAATTAAAAAAAAATTGGATTGAAAAGTGTAAATTTTCGGAAAATGTGTATTTTTTAAAAAAAATGTAAATATTTAAATATAGTGTAATTTTTCAGATAAAGTAAATTTTTTCAAAAAATGTGTGAACTTTCAGGAAAAGTGTAATTTTTCAGAAAAAGTGAAATTTTCAGTAAAAGTGAATTTTTTTTAAAAATGTGTAAACTTTCAGGAAAAGTATAATTTTTCATAAAAAGTGCAATTTTTTAGAAAAAATGTAAATTTTTTAGAAACAGTGAAATTTTTCAGAAAAAGTGAAATTTTTCAGAAAGTGAAAATTTTCAGAAAAAGTGTAAATTTACAGAAAATGTGAAATTTTTAAAAAAATGTGGTAACTTTCAGGAAAAGTGTAATTTTTCAGAAAAAGTGAAATTTTCAGTAAAAGTGAAATTTTTTAAAAAATGTGTAAACTTTCAGGAAAAGTGTAATTTTTCATAAAAAGTGCAATTTTTTAGAAAAAATGTAAATTTTTTAGATTTTCACTTTCTGAAAAATTTTAATTTTTCTAAAAAATTTACACTTTTTCTGAAAAATTGCAAACTTTTTATGAAAAATTACACTTTTCCTGAAAGTTCATACAAATGTTTCCAAAAATTTACACTTTTCAATCCAATTTTTTTTAATTATAAAAATGTAAAAAAACGTAATTTTCATAAACAGTATAAGTTTTCCAAAAAAACGTAATTTTACAGAAAAAGTGTAAATTTTCAGAAAAAGTGTAAATTTTTAGTAATAGTGTAGTTTTTTAGAAAAAGTGAAATTTTTTAAAAAAGTGTAAACTTTCAGGAAATGTGTAATTTTTCATAAAAAGTGCAATTTTAGAAAAAATGTATAAAATTTTACAAAAAAAGTAACGATTTTGCCATTGCAGGGACCTATCGTTTTTCCCACTGAAAGAGGCAAAAAAACATAATAACGTAAAAAAGTAACAAAAACGATAAGTTAGAACATTGGGCTTTTGGAAAAGTAAGTAGATAAATTGATAGCAAATGGTATACCGGTTTTTGGTAGCAGGGTTGGTAGCGGTTTTTGGTAGCAGGGTTGGTAGCGGTTTTTGGTAGCAGGGTTGGTAGCGGTTTTTGGTAGCAGGGTTGGTAGCGGTTTTTGGTAGCAGGGTTGGTAGCGGTTTTTGGTAGCAGGGTTGGTAGCGGTTTTTGGGAGCAGGGTTGGTAGCGGTTTTTGGTAGCAGTGTTGAAATTTGCTTAGTTTTGGGTAGCAGGGTTGGTAGCGGTTTTTGGTAGCAGGGTTGGTAGCAGTTTCTAGTATAGGGGTTGGTAGCGTTTTTTGGTAGTCAATTCGAAATTGGTCAAAGAATGCGTAGAGAAGCTGAACAAATTAGGCAAAGAAAATAAAGTCCTAATCTGGGTGCCTGAAAGACTCCATCTGTAACGTTGGAATTAGAATCCTTCACCGGTCTAAGGGCCTCGAAGAAGTTACTCAGGACTTTATTAATTACGACCGAGAAAAATCAAAGATTTTCCTTGATTTAGGTAAGAACAATATTCAGGATTTTTAACAGAACACTGTCTCCTCATTGAACCCCTCAGTAGATTGTGAAGCTAACAAACAAAGCAAACGCAGATTCTGTGGGGAAAATGAGCCGAGACGACAGCTATATGTGCCATAAACTTTGGCACGACTGATATTGGAGATGAGGAACTACCTTCTGCAAAACTGTCTTAGATACTGACTATTGTCAAAGCCCTGAGGCTGTATGATGAGTTATAACTCAAGAAAGGGGGACACAATAGATCTATAAGTTGCATGATCTAAAATATTTTCATTACCCTTACCTTAGTCCCGTACTATATTTTGCTACTACGTTATTTTTAAAACACATTGATTGTCTTATCTTTTTTAATAGAATTTAGGTATTTTTGCATAGACAAATGGAAAGATAGGGATAACCGCTGGGAAGTTAACTTAGAAATGATGATCGATTAAATTTAATCTTCATCGGTCGTTATTTCTAAAGGAATTTGAAGCCGTTTTTTTTTTCGATCGTGCAGTATATGCCATATATAGATACGTTATTTATATGAAATTTTATGTCTTCCGTATACACTAGATATAAATACTCATTAATCATGTTGATAGATATATAATAATAGTTTCTGTATAGCCTTTAACGCCTTGGGTGTAGCAAGGTATAACTTGCCTTGCTAGAGCCGTTCGGTATACAAGAAAGGAAATGTGCAGGGCCGGCGGAAGGAAAATATTGAGACCGGGCACTTACCCTATCTGGCGCCCCCCCCCCTCCTCCTTAACAGTTATTATACTCTCTCTTTCCTTCAGTCCTATACTTTAACTACAAACTAAACATATTTATGCTACTTTAACAATAAATTTTCACTTAAAGATACTTCAAAATTCTTCTCTTCGTTCAATTTTAGTCTGCGATTGTAGTTTTTTCTACACCGGTCTCGAAAGTGACTCACTCCTATAATTTTTTTATTTTTTTAGATAAAAAACGAGTTTTGGTATGTTAGTATATGACATATATTAGGTTTGATTGACGTATTCAATGGTTTTTAGTCACTCCCTGTTTGACCGGAAATGACTAAAACTTTTGATTTTTAAATGCACCCTCGGTATATTTCTACTTTATTCCAAAAGAAAATGGCATTCTGAGTAGAATGGCATATCATATGTCAACTTTTGACATTTTTGCTTAAAAATATCGTATTGTCAAAGTGTATGTGGCGCTAAATTCGTTAAGTATTTTATCGTGAGTTTAAATTAGTGGACCCACGGAATCCGTAACAGTATTTTAAATTTTAATCTATAGTACCAGGGCTGTGTTAAAAATAAACAAATTATAGGGAGTAACTTCTGAGACGCACTCGGTATATAGAGCATAAGCAATATGATTCCAACTTCGGCAGTCTCGTTCTGGTATAAGTGATCTTTGAAAACATAACAGTATTTAATTGAAAGCAGTTGCATTATTTTTTATTATATTTTATTATTAAGAATTTAAGAAAATTTTCCTTTCTTTTTCACAAACAATTACATATTTAGTGCAGAATCAGTATTATGATCACACAGTTTTGTCGGCTGCAAAATGAGGATCAACCAATGTTTGAGATGCATTTCTTTGTGAGAATTTTTTCTTTGTGTGATTCTACGATTTAGAAAATTCAACGATTTTGCTACCATTTTCAGTGTATTACTACATATTCAATCCGGAACAATCAAAACCACCAAAAGATTGATATCTTTCCCACTACTAGTAATAAATTAATTTAATTAATGAGGCAAACTTAGTTTTTTTTTTGACAATAAGGATATCGGGATCCTCTTCAGCTTCTTGCGAATGAATATTTGCCGTATATATGTAACTTTAGGGCATATCAGCCATTAATAACAAATAAAGGGTGTGGATAGTAGAAAAAGGGCAATTTTGAGCGGCCAGTCTAATACTGTTAATTTTGCTGGCTCTTGACCCGAAACAGTTTGTTTAGAAATTTATAAAAACGAGAATTATAGAAAGAAGGATTATTTACAAAAAGTTGTTAGCTTTTGAGTTATAAAAATGCCACGAACAAATCCGATTTATATTTTTTTATTTAATTTTGTCTAATATTCTTCCACGAAAATGAATTGGCAAATCCCAGTTTCGGATAGAGCACTCAAAAAACATATAGAATAGAACAAAACTATCCTAAAGCTTTCGTGCTAAGGATTTTTTTGAGCATAATTTCAGTAAACTATAATAGGATATATCTAGGATATAGTATAGTGTTTATAATGTTTAGTCAGATATTCTTCCCTATATGGTGTGGTAATAGCTAATAAGTTAATGTGGAAATTGACAGTACCGATTAATTATTGAACTGGATATTCGTTACTATTTGTTTAGATTACTGTTTTTAAATATTTTAGTTGCTGTTGTGGCGCCCCTCGTTTAAGGCGCCCCGGGCGGCCGCCCGGGTCGCACGGCCCTTCCGCCGGTCCTGGTAATGTGGCTAGCATTACTCTTCAACTGTCTATTATTACATCAGGATTGTGAATCCCAAGTACTCATTTAAGGCTTAGTCGGCCTTGGTACCCAAACTATTTTATTTTATTAGAATTGCCGACAACAAAATTCGAAGCTGTGATAGATTATTTACTTTTTCTTTAATATTAATATGCATATCACTTTATAAAATACTTTGTTATTAAATTTATGAGTTTATGCTTTGTTGTATGTGGTGTAGATATTATTATTTACTAGTTTTATTTAAATATTTAACTTAGTTTATTTTTACCCGCTGATATTCTTTCTTGACAAACTGGCGAATAAAGATAAATTCAAGGTTTCTTATAGTTTAACATCTGGTTTAACCCTTGATTTTAATATACAGTGTGACCCACTCAAGACCGGGCACCCTCCATAAAATCTGTGTTTATAGTCCGATTTTGATGATTTTTTTTTCAAATATAAAGTTTCAAAAAATGTACTTTAGGGCTCAATGTCATGTTATTTCACAAAAAACAAGGCCTACTTAATAAAGTTTTTGTAGTGAAAAAATTTGCTAAATCATATTAGCGATGTTTTTTCAAAAAATTTGAGTACACCCCTACATTCGGCATCTCCCAAAACAGTTCTGTACCAAATTTCGTTCAAAAATATAATTATTAATAATTCTGCAGTTAAATTAAATAATTCCCTATTTTTGCCAATTTAACGATGAGTTATCAAGTAACCCTTGAAAAAAACAATCCACGACAACGAGTTTTATTACAAACAATGATAAAAATACTACAAGCAACACAATAACCGAATAATAAGTTAAACATATTCAAATAATTCTAGTTGCTTCTACCAGCCCCTCCATTCAGTTCAATACATTTGTCGCATCTTTTTTTCTTAGATTAACAGTTACATTCCTAAGCTGCTGTGGTGTAATATTTGCAGAAGCCTCTGTAATTCTAATACGTAATTCATCTACAGATTGAGGTCTAGACTTGTAAACTTGTTGCTTTAAGAAACCCCAAAGAAAGAAATCAAGGGGTGTTAGGTCCGGGGATCTCGGTGGCCACTCAATTAGCGGGCTATTTCGACCTATCCACTTATTTTCAAAATTTTCATTTAACCATTCCCTGACAACTGCCGCGTTATGCACAGGTGATCCGTCCAATTGAAATTTTAAATTCAAACGGGTTTGGCATGGTAAATTATGTATTGCATCCCAAAAGTCATTAATCAGAAAATTCAAAAACGTTGGACTATTCAAATTTCTCTCAAAAAAATATGGACCAATGATTCTATCATCAAGTATGCCACACCACACATTTAATTTCTGAGAATACTGTCTTCTTGTATTGATCACCCATTCAGGGTTTTCGACTGCCCAGAATCGCGAATTTTGAGAGGATACTACTCCGTTTGTACTAAATGTTGCCTCATCACTAAATAAAATTTCTTTTAAGAAATTTCTATTATTTAAATACTCTGCTTGAGCCCATAAGCAGAATTCTAATCGTCTAACATCATCTCCGTTTTCCAAAGTGTGTAAAATCTTTGGTTTAAAGGGTTTAACTTTATTAGTTCGCAAACATCTCCTAATATTTTCCCTTGGTATATCCAAATCAACACTGGCGCCTCTAATGCTTGCACGAGGATTGTTACGAAAATATTCTAATATTTCCTCATTCCGCCTATTTATTCGATGTTCCGGCCTTCTGTTTTTTAGTAAGTATTTTGACACACAACCAGTTTCATTAAAAACTCTATTTATTCGTTGAACCGTGCTTCTACTTACTGCAGGTCTGTCGGGATGTCTGTTGTTAAATTCTCTGGCAGCTTCTCCTGCTTGAAGATAGTTATCACCCACTAAACGAATAATTTCAATTTTATCCCTAATATTTAATTGTTCCATAATGCAAATAATATTTCTTGATACAACACTTTTCTGCGTGCTATTAAATTAATATTCAATTCTACGCTGCAAGAATTGACAGCTAATAAAACCCATTGTTGTGGATTGTTTTTTTCAAGGGTTACGTGATAACTCATCGTTAAATTGGCAAAATAGGGAATTATTTAATTTAACTGCAGAATTATTAATAATTAATATTTTTAAACGAAATTTGGTACAGAACTGTTTTGGGGGATGCCGAATGTAGGGGTGTACTCAAATTTTTTGAAAAAAAATCGCTAATATGATTTTGCAAATTTTTCACCACAAAAACTTTATTAAGTAGGCCTTGTTTTTTGTGAAATAACATGATTTTGAGCCCTAAAGTTCATTTTTTGAAACTTTATATTTGAAAAAAAAATCAAAATCGGACTATAAACACAGATTTTATGGAGGGTGCCCGGTCTTGAGTGGGTCACACTGTACATATATAAACAAGGCTTTAACTATAGTTTAACCCTTGTTTAACCAAAAAATATTTTAATACCCGTTTAATAAAATTTAGTAGTTATATATACAATAACTAGTTGAAGCCTGGCGCATCCGCGCACGACATCAGGAAAAAAATACTTTTTATTTTTTTTTAATTAAATGAAAAACAAAAAATTCGGCGACGACAGTTTTTAGAAGAACCAATTAGCTATCTTTTTTTAATAAAAAAAGCAACTTTCTAGAGCAAGTCGTTACTTCAGTAGAGACGACACAGATAAACATTAGCATTTTATATATGTATAAATTACAGAATTAAAAAACATATATTTCAAAATCTGAAACATTATTTGGACAAAGTTTAATATGTTTTTTTTTATAAAGACATAAACTCACCGACATTAAAAACGACCGTCTTAAAATTTTCATGTATTTTAAAGTTTTATATATTGTGTTCTAGTGGACCGATTTTGATGATTTTTTAAGTAGCTAAATTATTTGAATTATTTCTTTTTAATGACTCTTTCTAAATTAAAAATGAAAGTTGCCATCTGTCAATTATACGAGGGAAAACAAAATGTTGATCTTTTGGTTAAAGTTTGAAACACCCTGTGTACGTTAACAAAGAAAGGAATTTAAAAATAATTTCATCATCTAGGTATATCTTTTTTTGATAGTTTGTTTTTTGATTCATCTCAATAGCTTTATTTTTGTTTTTGTTTTGAAGATATTCAGTTTTGAGGAAGACACTAACATTTTTTCGTATTTTTTCTATTTATTTTATTTTATTTTATCCATACATTGAAATTACATCTAAGTATATCTTGGTATCAATTTAGCCTTGAATGGTTTTGGGGCCAAAGCAAATCCGTCATAGGGTTCCTCGCAGGGGTAAAATCCGTCAACAGCTTCGAACGTAAAATTGTGAAGCAAACATGTAAAAAACAGAAATATCTGGGTTTTGGCTAATCCTTCTCCTAAGCATCGACGCTTACCTATAAAGAAAATAATATTTTATGAAAAATTGTTGCTTTAACTCAAAAAGTATAAATAAATAGGTCATTACTTAGAAATATTAATTTCAAAATGTTTGCATGAAACTGTTGCTAATATTTTTCTTATATTCCCCTGTAAACGATACATAATAAATAACAAAATTAAGTAAGCCTAGTGTAGCGTTTTTTTATTAGAAATGTCACATTTTTGCTACTGGTATCAAGCTGACATAAACAGTTTTCAGATAACGCCAATTAATTACTTATTTTATTAAAATTGATAAAAGCTGTTGCCTTTTCTGTAATGGACGTTCGAAAAGAAGGTAAAAAGAACTGTTTTTTCTTTTTTGCACTTAATTAAACCTAAGTAATATTAGTTTATAGCAATTTATTTGAAGGCAACAAAAATAGTATTTTTACATTTTTGCTTGTCACTCTTTAAGACTTTTAACTACTTTCCCTTTCAAATCCTGTTAAACGGCATGATAATACTTGTTGCTTAAAGTATATTGCATATAAATTAATTGCCACTGGCTGCCGCGAATTGCCGCCGGATCTTATACTGGGTGGTTAAAGATTAACTTTTTGTCTTAAAATAAAAGTAACTTATTTTTTCCTCTTCGTGTCAACTTATTTCGTGGACACACTGTATATCAATTGACAATAAAATTGTATTTATAAAATGAAACAACTGTCTCTTTTATTTTTTCAACATTTAAAAATAAATTTGACCACTTCAATATGAAAAACATGTACATATGTGCAAACATAATCTGTATACCTTTCCGAATAGTTAGAACTTAAAATGCAAATCACACGAACTGGGCCCAATTTTTTTAATACATATTACATTAAGTTTTTTATATACATTTATTTAGCATTTGTTATCAATTTCTATTAAGAAAGCTAGTCAAGTAAAAACAGTCAAGCTATATCTAGATATCTAACAGTTATGACCGCGCAGCTAATTAAGAGGAACCACTGTGGTTGGTGGGTGCAATAACATTCAATAACTCAACCTTCCCGGATATTCGACTCTCCCGAAACCAGGGTTGGAAAAATCATGATTTTTTGAAAAAAATAAAAAAATCAGATTTTTTTTACTTAAATCAGATTTTTATTTTATTTTAGTTCAAAACAATATTTAAATCGGATTTCCAAATGATAAGAACTTATTTCCAATTAAAGTTCTATTCCTAAATGGCTAAATCTTTATAACTCTGCCCGATACCGATAACATTAACAATTCTACGGTGCGTCCCATTTTTCCACATCGGTCACCAATATATTCCGCATAAAAAGTCGCTCGCTTCAGATCAAAAGGAATTTTATTTCAAACGTCTCAAGAATATCAATTTTGTAATTTCAACGCCTATGCATAAAAGTAAAGCACTGTTACGCCTAAGCATAAAAGTACAAAAAATATATTATTAAACTGATATTAAGTGTCAAATTCAACAAGTGTACAAATTTGTTGCTCGATTACTGTTTATATTATTAGCAATGTTTGAAATTGATTAAAAAAATATTTGTAATGTTTTGATATATGAAATGAACAAAATTCTTACAGCTTTAGTGTATATTAATAAATAATATTTTCTTGCCTTTAGCTGTGTATTTTTTCTAATTTCGAAAAATCGAAAGTAGAGAAAAAATTAAAAAAAAAGAAAAAGTAAAAAGAAAATTGTTTTGCTTGTCGTAAAGGGGCCCTTTACGACAGTTAACAGTTTTTTCAGTTATTCTCCATGTTTCTGCTCCATACAGGAGGTTGCTGTTTATCATGATTTCAGATATATTGAATTTTCTTCGCTTTGTTATTGATTAGCTCCATAAGATTCCATTTAGACATCCGATTATTTTTTTCGCGTTGATAATCCTTTTCTCTATTTCTCTGCCGTCAGTTCCAGTGTTATCAAATGTAATTCCTAGGTACTCATACTCTTGACACTGCTTAATTTCGTGACCGTTGTCCAAGTTCAAGTTTCCTTCTTGTGCGCCTATACATAGATATTTTGTTTTGGCTATGTTAACTCTCAAGCCCCATTCTCCGTATTCTTCAATAAGTTTTCTTGGCATATATTGCATATCATCTTTGTCATTGGCAACTATTATTTGATTGTCTGCGAATTGAAGTGTGAAGAAACATTCATTGTCAATCTCTATGCCCATACCACGGATCTTTCTTTTCCAGTTTTGTAAAGCGACTGCAACGTATATTTTAAAGAGAGTAGGGGAGATGCAACAACCTTGACGCAAGCCTTTGTCGGTTATAAATGTTTCTGTAAGCTCTTTCCTTCCTTTATTTTTGATTTTGCGTCCTTAAGAGCTGTTATATAAGTATGGTTGATCGTAGATTGTTCTAGTACCCTCCATAGTCTTGATATTGGGACAGTGTCGTACGCTTTCCGTAAGTCAACAAATGTTATATGTGTGTCCAAGTTTCTTGCCGATCTTTTTTCTATAACTTGTTTTAAACAGAACACGTTATCTGTACACGACCTTCCTGCTCTAAAACCATTCTGTTCTTCTTCCTCCTTTTCTCTATAATCTTCTTCTATGAGATCACGTAAAATTCTACCATATAACCTGCTCATTGTGCTCGTCACTGATATACCACGGTAGTTGCTGCAGTCCAGCTTATTGCCTTTTTTACTCCGGATAGAACATATACGGCATATAGCCGTATATGTTCTATTCGGAGTAAAAATGTACATTTTGTGCCTCCCTGTAACGTCGGAATAGCTTTACAGCATCGTCAAAAACACTATAATTTTGACTCCTAATAAGACAATACACTATTGTTTAGACATAGTCTGAATTCCAGAATGAAATTAGTATTATCTAATGTCAAAGTGTAAAGAACTTACTGCTGATCAAAATGGCGCGGTCGGTAGGAATTTGGAAACATACAAACGTTTCAAAAAATATATATAAAACAACATATTTTCTGACAACGATTATAATTTCTCGAGAATGAAGATATAGTCTCTATATCAGAAGAAGCTAGTTCTGCACTACACTGCGAATGATTGATATGTATTCGAACAGCGACGTTTTGTCACTTATACATAAATTTTAAAATAAGTCACTGCGTTTAGCGGTCTAATGGATTCATAAGAAATTACTTCAAAAATCGGTCCAACATTTAAATTGATCAATAGATATTTTTATACAGTTTTATAACATTTACGATTATCTTTCGATTTATTATTTGTTATTTCTGTTATAGAAATATATTTTATAGTTTTCTAAGACACATTTTTATAACTTTCACAGTTACTTTAAAAAAAAAAAATTTTAAATTTCCTTTGGTGTTGTGTAACAACAAAAATACCAAACAAAAATGACTTGACTTAGGCATAAAACTTCCTTATAGTTTGTTATAGTCAACGCTTATAGTAATATATTATTATAGGAATATATAGGGTGGTCCGAACTGTATTCCAGAAACTTCGGCAGCATATTTTGCAGATAAAAATAAGTAAAAAAGTTCGTATAAATGTATGTCCCAAAATGGCTTAGTTTCGGAGATACAGGGTGTAGAAGTTTCATTTTTATATCGATTTTTTCCAAATAATTTCTGAAGTGCCGTCAATATTTGGATGAAAATTGCTCTCTGGGAGTTTTTGACATGAAAAATTTGATTTTGATGTCAATATCCCTTCTATTTGTAGGGGGCGCCACCTAAATTTTGTGTTTTAACTGTTTTGAAGAGATAACTTTTCGTCCGTACTCGTATAAAACTATTGTGTAAAAAAAATAGACATTTCCGTGAATTTTTTCGTAAAAAATGTCTCTTGGTAAAAATTGCTATGAGCAACCGTTCTCAAGATATTTAGAATAGGAAAATAGTCAATACATGTCATTGACAAAAACTAAACACGTCCGATCGACATAAACGGGACTGCGTGAAATACTTTTATACCAGGCGCTTCTAATTTCTGTCGTTTGAGCGCTGCGGTCGGAATTTTTAAAATGAACTGAAATGCACCAAGCCTATAAAATCGCTTAAGGGGTATGTGAGAACGCCTATCTATAGTGAAATATTAAAGTTGATTTAAATTTGCTTCACCTAGTCCAAACGGCAAATAATAATTTTCATCGACAGTTATGTTTCCAGATTCATCCAAAAATCTTTCTGGTTTAAACTTCATGGGATCTTTCCAATAATCTAAATTCATATGGATGCTGTATAAATTCAAAAGAATAACAGCGTTCTCTGGTATGGTGTAACCATATAAAGAGGTCGTTTTCGTTGTTCTGTGAGTTACTCCCATGGGCGCCAGGTTGCATCTTCTTTGGATTTCCATAAGTACTGCTTGAGTATACTTTAAACTGGAAAATAGGATAATAATATATTTTGTATCTTTTTAAGTTAATTATTACTTATTTTTATCTTCCACCGTTGGCCATCTATCTCTCCCAATTTTTTTGTCAAGTTCTTGTTGTACTTTCTTCTGGACATCTGGATAAAGTATCATATACATAAAGGCAAAACCTAAAAATAATCTATATTATCAAACATTTTTTCTATAATAGAGAACAGTATAATAAGAAGTCCAGAAATAATAGCAAAAGACCCGTACAAGGTAGATATAGCTTTATATTATCCTTTATAAACGTTTTTATAAGTTATAACTATACCTTGTTATCGAAATATTTTTGAAAAAGAGCATATTTATATACATTTAAAAATGTTTAGACTAAAATAGTGTTACTATTTTATCATGTATTTTTTGACAATGTGCGCTACTGTTGCCTGCATATTTTGCACATGTGCTTTTGATGTGGCCTGTCAAAAATGTTTTTTTCTAGGTTTATTGTGAGCTTAATTGTGGGACTTACTTAAACTGTTACTTGTTGTCTCTGCGCCTGCCATAAATAAATCAAGGCACATCGAAAGCAGTTGTTGATCTAAACAAAGAAGAATGTCATTTAGGTTGAAATCATTGGTGTTACAGCAAAATATTACACAAGTCAACCAAACGCGTCAATCAACCAAAACACTTTGCTAACCATGTTAGCATTATTAGATGCTTAAAAGCTTGCTATTTTCTATGTCTCTTCATCTCTTTTCAATTCCGTGTTGTTTCAATTCTGAAATTTCCTTTGGTTTTGTGTAACAACAAAAATACCAAAGAAAAATGACTTGACTTAGGCATAAAACTTCTTTATAGTAATATATTATTATAGGAATATACAGGGTGGTCCGAACTGTATTCCAGAAACTTCGGCAGCATATTTTGCAGATAAAAATAAGTAAAAAAGTTCGTATAGATATATGTCCTAAAATGCTTAGTTTTAGAGATACAGGGTGTAGAACTTTCATTTTTATTTCAATTTTTTCCAAATAATTTCTGAAGTACCGTCAATATTTGGATGAAAATTGCTGTCTGGGAGTTTTTTGACATGAAAAATTTGATTTTGATATCAATATGCCTCCTATTTGTAGGGGGCGCCACCTACATGTGTTTTAACTGTTTTGAAGAGTAATAACTTTTCAGCCGTACCTGTATAAAACTACTGTGTGAAAACATATACATTTCCGTGATTTTATACGTAAAAAATGTCTCTTGGTAAAAATTACTACGAGCAACCGTTCTCAAGATATTTAGAATGGAAATAGTCAATACATGTCATTATTGACAAAAAATAAACACAATTTTTATTTTTTTAAATTAATTATAAATTTATCTGCGAAAAAATGATGATAATACAGTTTCTGTTGAACTTTTAGCACAAAAATATTTCAAATTTATGATTTTAGTCTAATAACTATATATTAGTCAACATGTTTAATTTATGCCAATGATGACAGGTATTGATAAATTCAATTCCAAATATCTCGAGAACCATTAGTCGTAGCGATTTTTACCAAAAGACCTTTTTTACGTAAAATACGTCGTAAATGTATATTTTTTTACTCAGTAATTTTATACAAGTACGGATGAAAAGTTATTACTCTTCAAACTAGTAAAATATATGTAGGTGGCGCCCCCTACAAGTAGGAGTCATATTGACATCAAAATCAAATTTCTCGTGTAAAAAAAACTCCAAACACCAGTTTTCATCCAAATATTTACGTTACTTCACAAATTATTTGGAAAAAAAATCGAAATAAAAATGAAACTTCTACACCCTGTATCTCCGAAACTAACCATTTTAGGACATACATTGTTACGAACTTTTTTACTTATTTTTATATACAGAATATGCTGCCGAAGTTTCCGGAATGTAGTTCGGACCACCCTGTATATTTAATGACCATCTGCTAAAAATACGAAAATGACCATCTACTAATACGGTCCTGCTTCTCAATTTAAAAATTAAAAGATTAATCGACTTACCTGAAGGATGATTAATCATAATTTTCCGAGCTTGTCCGAAGATATAATTACCATGTAGTTTCCGAATAAACCTACTCATCAGCACGAACTTTTTTGGAGTTTTTTTGATCTGTGGCCCGGTTCGATCGCTGCCTGTGTTGTCATTCCGTTGAAGTGTCTAAAAAAATTGCCTAGGATCTGGGGGTATATAGGGGGTTGGTTGATCGCTCGACGGACAAAAATCGTGATTAATCATCCTTCAGGTAAGTCGATTAATCTTTTAATTTTCCTTCGCTTGTCCTTGATATAATTACCATGTAGATGTTCAAAGTCAAAGGCAATTTTTTTATTTTTTATAACCATATATTGATATAATTAATTATTATCATAAGATATTAACTTCTCTAACAATTACTTATTGTAAGAAATATAAATTCTAAAATTTAAAAAATATTTTTTTTTTGAACTTTAGAAAACTTTGGAAATTATATTTTTTATATTTTTACATATTTACTAATAAATGATTAACATAAACTCTGAGTTTATAACTAACTACTGAGTATATAATGTAAAGAACTTAACTTTTAACTTATAACTAATAGAATGAATATGATATATTGATAACACCTAAATAATAATAAAAAAATACTTAATACTACTAACAGTAGAACACTACGATTTATTAGAACCCAATTCAATAATGGCTTTGGCAAATTTATCTTGAGGTTTTTCTACAGGTCTATTATAAAAACTAAAGAAGGTGTTCGAGGCAGGAGTCCAGCCTGCTGTATTTTTAATTATCTCTATATTTACGCCTGCTTTATACGCAGCCGAAGTTGTAGCGTGACGTACACTATGGGCTGAAAAAATGGACGTATCTACGCCACCTAAGTTTAAAGTATTTTTAATCCACCTGCTTATTGTCTGAGAAGATGCTGAACGGTGTGGTTTTTTATGGGTAAGAATTAGTTTTTCTTCGGTATTGCGTATTGGTTTCGTTCTTTTAATGTAGTCCGCAATGGTGGACGCAACGCAAAGTTCTTGTTTACTCTTAAAAAACGGAAAAATTAGTAGCGGTTGGAATCTGCCTGGAGCGGATGTTTTTACTCTATCTGGTATTTTAATCTCAACTCTGTCTACCGATATATTAATGTTTTGAACTTTAATTAGAGAAAGAGTCTGAACTCTGCTGGCTGATGTCAGTGCCATAAGAGTGACTAGTTTATAAGTTGCGTATTCTAAATCTAACGCCTCTAGAGGATATAATGTACCTAGGTATTTTAATAGAGGGTCTGGATCCCAAGTAATCTTATATTTAGGTCCTGGTGGTCGAATATTAGACACTCCCTTCACAAAACGATTAATTACTTTTTCATCATTATTACTTATAGGACTAAATATCAAATTAAGAGCTGATCTATAAGAATTGACGACAGAAAATGAAAGACCTTCTTTTAAGGCATCGGATAAAAAATCCAAATATGTTTCTAGCTTATAAACAAGAGGATCCCTGTTACTGTCAGCACAAAATTGCCAGAATTTTTTATAACAAGATGTGTACTGTTTAAGTGTTCCTTTTGATATAGATGCCTCGATTATTTCTATTGCTGTCACTGGAACCCCCTTTCTTATATAAGCCTGCCGGATAATTTCCCTACTACCAGGGAAATCTCCTCGTGTAGTGGGTGGTAGTCTCTGAAAGGAGAGACAAGTAAAAATTTGTTTGCTTTAAAATAAATAGGTTTCTCTAATAACAACTTAGTGAACAGGGGATACCATGCCTGTGTAGGCCAATAAGGTACTACTACAATTCCTAATCCCTTTTCCTGAACAATTTTTTCTAAGACCCTAGTAATTATTGAAAAGGGGGGGAAAGCGTAAAAGAAAAATTCTGACCACCTTATTGTGAACGCGTCAACCTTCCATGACTCAGGATCTGGAAACCAGGAAACAAATTTATTGCACTTTTTGTTAATTCTAGTTGCAAATAAATCTATTTCCGGAGAACCAAATCTCTGTATAATTTGATTATATACAGTGTCATTTAGCTCATATTCAGTATTAATTGAGAAAAATCTTGATTCTCTATCTGCCTCAAAGTTAGCAGATGAACTAATATAGCTAGCGAATACTATAATACACTTCTTTTCACACCACTGCCAAAGAGCTTTTGTAATATTATCTAAATATGAGTATTTAACACTTCCACCTCGATTAATACACGATATTGCCGTTTGATTATCAATTCTTAATAAAATGGAAATATTTTCTTTGTCTTTAGCAAGTGATCTCAAGGCGAAATAGGCGGCTTTGATTTCTAAAAAATTAATATGTTTTACCTGCTCTTTATTATTCCAGAAACCGTGACATCTGTGACCGTTACAAAACGCTCCCCAACCCGTCTTGGAGGCGTCTGAAAAAATTTCAAGTGAGAAATTTTTAGATTTTATCGATTGACCTAATCCTATATTATTGTGCCACCACTCTAATTCATTATTTAAAGAGGTTGGAATATGCATCTTTTTATTATAATTGTAATAGTCTCCTCGCAACAAAAAATGTTTAATTTTTTCAAACTGCTTAATATGAATAAAACCATATTTTGTTGAAGGACAAGATGCTACAAGTTTGCCTATTAGTTGGGCAAATTCCCTAATTGTGCATTTCCTTTTCTTCCGTAAATTTAAAATCAAATTTTGAATGGCTTTACGTTTTTCACCAGGAAGTGAAATGGTCATTTTATTAGTATTATATATAAACCCTAAGAATCTAATAGTTTGTTGAGGTATTAACATACTTTTTTTATTATTTATTATAAATCCTAATTTGGCTAGTTCTGAAAGAACTATTTTCGTGTATTTTTTACATTCATTTTTATTTTTACCTATAATAAGAATATCATCTAAATAAAATACAGTACTTATTTCCATAAGACGCAGTTTTTTTGTTAACGGTTTCATAAGTTTAGTGAAAATATATGGTGCGATGTTAAGACCAAATGGTAAACAACTGAACTGATATAGACGATTTTCGAAGCGAAATCGCAGGTATTTTCTGTACTTTTTATTAACTGAAATTAAATAATATGCATCCTTTAGATCGATATTTGAAAGGTAGCAATTTTTATTTATAAGTTTTATTACAGTTCTGTAATTCTCTAATTTAAAATGAGGAGCAAATAAAAATTTGTTAAGGCTTTTTAAATTTAAAATAAACCTATAACAGCCAGAGGGTTTTTTAATTATAAAGTAAGATGATATAAATTGTCCTATTGAAGAATGACACTCTTCGATAGCACCTATTTCTAACATTTGCTGAATGGATTTTTTATACTGGGGTAAGAGTTTGTCAGAGATTTGTACAGAGGGCTCAAAATACTGTACAGGTTTTTTAATAAAAGGTATTTTAATACCTGTGACCCAGTCTAAGACCGCTCGGTCTTTCGTAATATGTTTCCAACTCTGTAAAAATCTCGAAAGTCTACCAGCGCAATTACTCACATCTTCCTCCATATCTATTCCTGGCGATGGTATTTCCTGGGGACTTTCTTGTGATACTTCTGATATCCTGATGGCTTCTTTTCTTCCCTCCTCCTTTTTTCCTTCATTTTCTCTCTGGGAGGCCCACGCCGGTAGTTTAAATGATACATTGATGTATTTATTGATGGTCTTGAAAATTTAGTTTGCCAATTCTTCTTTTTAAAATCAGCACTGGCCTTTTTTATGATTTGTTCATTTTTCATTGTATCTGCAAATTTTTTATTAAATAAAAAATCATCTATTTCCAGACTGTCCACGACTTTTTTGCATTCCGGATTTAAATGTGGTATGATTTTAAATCTACGGTGAACTGAAAGTCCATGATGAACGTTAGTGAATAATTGGCAGGCCTCTGCCAATGATTTCATGTTATCTACTTGTTCTTTGTTAGGCATCATAGCCTCAATGACTGTCCCTATTGCTGATAAGCCATGAGCCAATTGTTGTTGTAACGCTGAGATAAAACGATCATGGTCAAGAACCGACTTATTTAGGCAAGGTTGTACTTCATTATTTATCTGGGGAGGATGAAGAGCTTTGCAATTTGCAGGCACCTTATACTTTAACATTAATTCTTCTCGCTGTTCTTTAGATAGCCCTTTTTTCAAGTGGCTGTGCCAGCGAACAACAATTTCTTCATGTAAGTCTTTGCCTTCATTGTCCCCTGAGTCTGGTCTTAAACCTAAAGCGTCAAAATATTGATCAGAATTTTCTGGTATTTCTGTATCTACTACTGTGACGTCTGGGGCTGGAATATTTGGAATATCAGAGGTAGCCTCCGATTCTGAAAAGAAAACATGACATCAAAGTCCTATTCAAGTGATGAAATCGCCTGATTTCGTTTCTTAGGAGCAACGCACGTTGCCCTAAAAACATTTTATTTATATTAAATAAGGATGACATGAAAAAACCGCACGGTTTTTCAGTCTTTCAGTGAAGATACCAGCTGACAAAGTTCTATTCAAATGAGATCGCCTGATCTCATGTTATATAATTGCTTGTTTATATAAGAAATCGCCCGATTTCAATTTTAGGAACAACGCACGTTGTCCTAAAAACATTTTATTTATATTATATAAGGACGACATGAAAAAACCGCACGGTTTTCCTGTCTCTCAGGGAATATCGCACGATATCCCTGCCTAAATTTCTCCTTGTTATCTGACAACTCTTCATTAAGCTAAAAAGAAAAAAAAAACGTACCTGATGTTGAAAAAACTTCAGAAGATGATTCACTAGAATCACAAATCTTATTTAAATGTTCTTGCATTTCTCTAAATTGCTTTTTTAATCTCTTTATTTCACCGTATTTGTCCTGGTCCTTGTCTTTAAATGGTCTTTTCGGCATTTTTCTTTTTAATTTTCGACACACGCGATTTGTTTACAGTCGTCGCTGACGAGCACGAAAACGGAATGACAACACAGGCAGCGATCGAACCGGGCCACAGATCAAAAAAACTCCAAAAAAGTTCGTGCTGATGAGTAGGTTTATTCGGAAACTACATGGTAATTATATCAAGGACAAGCGAAGGAAAATTAAGTGTTTTGATGTGTTGTGTCAGATTTATATAATTTATGTAATATAGAAATTTAAATTTGGATTAAAATCAAAATTACCTGTAAATGATTCGTCGGTTTTCTTTTCCGTGTGTTGTAAAAATGAATCAATCAGATCTCTGGGAGTATATTGCATAGAAAGTTTGTGGTCATCTATCGTTTCCTAAAATAAGAGTTACAAACTTTGGAAATATATGCATTACACCATACATCGTTTGTCAATTTACGAGAACGTTTGTTAATTACCGTGAAATGGGGTGACTTTGCCTCTTGGGGTGACTTTTCCAAATTCCGTCCGAAAATATGTTAGACGTAGCCGTAGCCACTACTTGAAAAGAACGCGTTATGTGTTATCGGTAAATTATGGGTGGAGGCGCCCCACGTCTCGGAACGTCGCTAAACGCTTGCTGTCAGTTGCGATGTAGCATTTACAGTGCTGTGAAGCCAAATCTGTTTTTAAAGCCTATTTTGTGCGTTTCAAACTTCTACGTGGCTGCAATAGTTAACCACGCTATATTGAGGTAAGTATTATGCAGAAGTTCGTTATAATATTGAGGGTGATGAAGGATATTTTACGTAATTATGCTTTTAAATGGGGTGGCTTTGGTCTATCAATAAGAATAAGGAAGAGGGCAAAGACAACCCATATAAGCAACTAACTTTGCCCATCCAGTTTTTTACTTTTTTATATATATATTTGTTTAATAAACAAAAAAGCGTATTATTGTTGTGTTGTCCATATTACCACTTATAGCATAGACCATGCGCATTTGAGAAAATACAACAATTTTTGAAATAAACACGATTTAAAATTCAGAATTGGGTAAAGTCACCCCACTTCACGGTACAAGAAAAGTTACATATTGATATATCCTAAAATATAGTTTTCAATTATTTTTGAAACTCTAGAACTATTTAAATACAAAAAAAAATGTTCACTTTTTAATTCTGCATCTGAATGTAAACTAATATACAGGGTGTTAGAAAAAAATAAGATACAGCATTTTAAATATTCCAGTTTTGGTGACGCCATAAAAAATACCCTGTAGATGAAAATGTAAATTTCTCTATACGGATTTATTCTGTTATCCTTGTTGTTTGGCAAAATGTAGCAAAGTGAGTGTTAATAAAGTTATATTCACTCCAGTTTTCTACCACTTTTCGGATATAATGTTTTTATAATGACCAAAGTTTTAGTAAATAAGTATTAGACTGGCAGCACCGCAGATTGCTTCAAATAAATATCTGCAGAAAAATGAGGGGTGCAATTTAAAGAAACTTAAAACTTTATAATAACTTTTTTATGTGACACCCTTTATCCAACAAAATATTTTTAGGACTGCCTTTATAAACCATGCAACATCTGTATAAACTTTTTTCATATCTTCGACAACGACGACTAATGGGCCTCGCACTAATGGGCCACCCTGTATATCAAAAATTTGAATTTTTATTGTAGTTAAAAATATGTTGAAAGTATATTAATTACCCCTAGAAAGGTCCACATGTTTGTTAGCATACTCATTATCTGATTGTACCCACTAGCTGATGGTGCAATATACCTCAAGAATGGAATCTGATTTATTATTCCTCCTGATATGTCTACTATTTTGAAACATTCGCGAATCATATCTAGTAGTTTATGTAGACGTTTGTCGTCATTGTCAAATCTTTTTCCTAAAACAAATTGAAACTGTTTCATTACTGTCATTTAAAAATTACTATAAGCAATATAGTGTTTGGCCCAAATCACTTCTTAAAATATTTCTGCATATAATTAATTTATTAAAATAGCAGTATATCATTAAAGAGCGTTGTATATCTAAATATAATTTTACTAACCAAGATTGGGTATTCAAAATCCCTTTGGAAAGCCTAGAGATGAGGAAATGCAAGACCAAGGTCAAGACTCACTTGGTCTTGGTATTTTAATCTAATTATTGTAGTCTTTGTCTTGATCTTGCTGGAAGACTCTTAGAACCGTTACACTTTTTAATAACGAATTTTTTACTAGAGACCTTTCTACATAGAAAATATTTAAATAAATATTATTTTAAAGTAATTCAGTGCAAATGAATAAATGAGTCATATTGAAGAAAGAAATAATATTTATTTGTCACAATCATACATGTTTCAAAATATTTTATGAAATTTGCATTGCTTTTTTGCAATAGTCGTGAATATACTCTTTGCAGTAAATTAAAACAATAATTTTGAGCCAGTAAATTACTTTTTATATCATATTTGAAAAACATGAGCGCCTTTTAACTACAGGTCGCCTCAGACACGCATGCTTTTCGATCCTATGCTTGCACAATCTTAAGTTGTAATGCAAAACTGAACACAAGCAATACGTAACTTTTTATTAATTATTTTAAATTTTGTTGTTAATACGTTATAACAAATTATTACTGTTATTATTATTTTTATTAAACCAGTCTTTTGCTTAAAAGAAACATTTAAAAGTGAAAAAAAAAAAAAAAAAAAAATAACAAATTATTATTGCACGGTGTGTAAGAACAGAATATTAATAAAATGCAAAATATATAGACGTACTATCCCTAACTATATTAAAATGAAACAATAATATTATTCTTTTTAATGCATCAGCTAAATACCAATGTAGCTTAGCCCTTCATAATGTATTTCTGTGTAAATACTAGCGCCTCAATAAAAAATAATGTGTCCTTATCTTTATGACTCCGCAAAATCAAGATGCCCCACTTCTTTACCTTAGCATTGCCACCGACCGCTGTCAGGTTTCTAGGAAAGAAACCTACGTCACGTCGCCGGGCGACAACTAAAAATCAGTTAATATTTTATTATAATCGATCCTGACAGATAAATGGAATTTATAAATGAATGGTTTTGCTGCCGATTACTAGAATACAATATTTCAAGGCAGATGACGCATCTATTCGATAATTTTTATTCGAATAATTTTCAACGAATGTTTCTTTACTAGCTATCGAATTATTCGAATGAATTGCAACTATCGAATGTTTCGATAGTATTCATTCGATAGTTCCCACTACTAATTTTAACGGGTAGCCAGATCTGGTCAAATAAAACTATTTTCTCTATGTATAACTTTTTCAAAGTAAATTGAAAATAACCGAGTTATATTAAACTTAAAATTTAAAAAAAAATGTGTTTCAGAAAATTCAGAGTTAATATCATATACAGGGTGTTACAAAAAACATGTGCCAACTCTCGTGGGGAGATTTACAAAAAAATAACATTTTTAATTACTAAATCCAATAATAATATTAAACTTCTAAAAAAGCAGTAGTGTGCCTATTTTTTCCTTTAAAATAATTTAACAGTGATGCCCCACCGCCGCCCCTGACCATTAAACTTAAATCTAATTACATCAAATTAAGTCCAATAGTAAGTATTATAAACGGGTCAAGTTTTATCAAAATCCATTAAATAGTTTTTCAAATATTTTAATTTTTTTTTAAGTAACTTTAACACTCTGTCTCTCGAAAATGAAGCTTTAAATCTTACAAGTTGATATAAACTTTTTGTTTTATTTTTCCAAGTTCTATCGTCTATTAAATTTTCCCGATTAAAATCTGAGACGCCCTGTATATCACTGTAATCACAAAACTTCAATCTATTTCGGTAATGTAACGGAATTTTAAATTATGTCTTTATTTTCGACAAAAATTTAGTCCAAACATAAGGAATATTTTGTTGTTGTTTGACCATCAAAATCTTAAAAACAAAGAAGTTGTCTAAAAATGTGCTATAATAAGGATATAGTATAATCCTTTATCTTTAATTTCTTTCTTCATTTGTGTAAAAATACCTAGCCATTTTTATTTTGTTATTTTGCTACTTTTTCGGACTAGTGAAATGGACTCTTCTAAAAAATAGCAAAGAAGGTGTTGAAAAGAACTGTAAAAACGTTTTAATTTAAGAAACGTTTGGTAGAGTAAATAAAACAATACAGACGAAAGCAATATTTTGTGGACAAGTAAACGGAAAACCCGACACAAAGTAACTTTAAATTGAATTTCCTCAGCTGTCCAAATTGTTTTCCAAGCAGAGGCGAGAGACAATGCGATACGTTTCTATTATTTTTGTCCAGAATTCTGACCATACGGTTAGGTTTCCTATCAAGTTTCTGTTGGTTTTTCTGATTTTTTTTGAATTTTCGTTTATTTTTGGAGAACTATTTCATAAAAGTGTGAGAAAAATTCTTGATCTTTAATATACACGGTGGTCCGAACTGTATTCCGGAAACTTAAGTAAAAATATGTAAAAAAGTTCGTACAAATGTATATTCTAAAATGCTTAGTTTCGGCGATACAGGGTATAGAAGTTTCATTTTTATTTCGATTTTTTCCAAATAATTTCTGAAATGACGATAATATTTGTATGAAAATTCCACACCTGTAATTTTTAACCAATCAAAACGTGTTTTTTTGACAAATCACCATGGCAACGGATAAATTTTAGTGAAAATTTCACACCTCTACTTTTCAACCAATAACATGCTTTAATGTTGACTAGTTACCATGGCAACTGAAAAAATTTCCGGAAATTTTTTCGAGGCGCCCACAAAACTTTAGTGGAAGTTTTGACAGTTGAAAAGGTAAACATAAGATCTACAATCATAATGTGAATGAACTACAATGTCTATATATTGAAATATTACCCATTTGAGTTTTAGCATTTGATGTAACTAAGGTTGGTAATATTTTTTATTTAAGGAAATATGTTAGATATACCTACATATGAATTTCTTCGAAATTGCCATGTTCTAAAAAATATAGTTCTGCCGCCTTTATTTAACTAAAGCTGGTATTTTTCTATTTAACGAAATATGATGGATATATCTATATGATTTTTTTAGAATTTATTTCATGTTGAATTATCTTCAATGCCAAATCTTTAATGATATCGACTAATATAGCAAAATAATAACGAAACACATTTAGTAATTATAGGTTTTATTAATATTAAAAACACAATTATTGTAAATGTTTGTAGGCTGGCTTGAATTGGTGGTTTGAATCTGGGTATTTTCTGTTTTATTTTGCATTGTGCTCTGATCATGATTGAACTGGCTAGTACTTGATGAAATGCTCCTCATGGATTCAATCATCTGTTGATGATGTTCAGCGTCCAACTGTAAGTAAGGTTTGATCGACTGACTATTACTATGTCCAGTAATTTTAATGAGCTGTTGTTCACCAACTCCTTTCTTGGCCAAATTCGAAACAGCTGTTGCTCTTGCAGAATGATTGGTTATTTTAACTTTTTTAGTGTCAATTCCTATATCTGAAGCTGCTGATTTAAACCATGAAGATACAATGTTCTTACCAACTGGGCTATTCTTGTACCATCCTTTCGAATTGGGTTGATTCCAGTATGGGTTTGGTGTTAAGAATAGTCTGTCGGTTTGAATAAGATTTCCCCTTTTTTCCATCAACTTTCTAAACAAGCGAACCGGACACATTTGTGGATTTTCGAAATTTCTAATCAACCATTTACTATCCGACAGTTTTTTAGAACCACCTTGTGTGGTTTTAGAGAAAATTGGATTATATTCTATCCGACCTTTTGGGTTTCCGAAATTATCAGTTTCTTCTTTGAAGTATTGGATACAAGCAGAATGTCCTTCCCCTCCTCTCCATGCCAGCTCATGTGAAACTATGTGAAAAAATTTACGCTGCAACCCATCTGGAGTATTTTCATCCCACATTTCAATAATTTTTTTGTATTCGTCACTGGTTAAGGCTGAAGCACTCACTTTTCTTTTTGCTGAATCTCTCTGTAGTATTTTGCGCTTAGCATCGCGTGCAGCTCTGGCGGTCACAAATTCCACATCAGAAAACGGATTAAATTTTATTTTATATTTTTCGTAATAAATTTCTTGCAACTGCTTAGCAGTAGAGTTCCACATCACTTTGACCACACTTTCCTTATAATCTTCAAAATTTTTCTTTTTCATATTAAATGCGTAGTCCTCCAGTATAGTACCAGCTGTACTACACTCATACACTCATGAATATTATACGACTTTTCATCACAAAATTCAACAAACTGTTTCCATACACTTGATTTTGATTTTCGGGTGTTATCTGGTTTTATATTTTCAATTTCTTCTTTAATGACTTGTTGGTTTACTTTTCCAAATCGCGACATTTCGCTATACACTTCTTACTCTACGTACAGGCGTTTTAAAACTAGTAATAGCTTAATGACAGAATCGCAAACAAAAATGACAAAACACATAATATGTCAAAAACATCAATACCTTGGCCAACTTAACAAATTGAAACTATTTTAAAATGTCATGTTGGATTAATATTTTTTTTTTTCAAATTTAGGTGTGAAATTTTCTTACCGAATACCACGCAAGCTTAAATTATTCCTGGAAATTTTCTTTCGGGCACGAATATTTTAGGAAAATTATTTAAAATTTTCAAAATATTCGTGCCCTCAAAAAAATTTCCGAAAATAATTTAAGCTCTTGTGATATTATAAGTGAAAATTTTCAAAATATTCATGAGCTCGAAAAAATTTCCGGAAATAATTTGACCTCTAGTGGTATACTACTAGTGAAAATTGGTTTATGGGAGTTTTCTGACATGAGAAATTTGATTTTGATGTCAATATGACTCCTATTTGTAGAGGGCGCCAGCTACATGTGTTTAAACTGTTTTGAAGAGGAGAGTGAGAGTCATTATGCTCTTTTTGATTGCTTGCAAACTGAAACAGAGGATTATTGAATAATAATATTTTATTTATATCAAAATCAAAAAAGTTAAGAAGATAATTTAGTAAATCAAAAAAAAATAATGAAAAAAACATAATTTGATGGTTTATGTTTATACACAACATTTCTTATCCATTTTTATTTTATCTAGTCAAAAAATAAGGCAGTGGGGATCAAACCAGGACAAAAGGAACATGCATTAGCCATTAGCCATCAATAATTGATGTAGTCTGGAGTCCCTAGGGATACGGGATCCGGGATAAAATGGAAACTAATGCTGTCACGCTTGAATGAAATATTGCATAGTTTATTTTAGGTCCTTTTTTGTTGGAATACTTTATAAGATTTTTTTTTAGTTTATTTGTAGAGGCTATAGTAGAGGGAGATGGCCGATTCTATGGCCTCCTCAATGTGCAACATTTCAGAACTAACGTAAATCAACTAGGAACATGTAAAATAAGCTAATAAACAAGAATAAGCAGGTTTAAACAGGACAGGTTGTTTCCTGTTCTATTCAAACAAAAAAAAAATTGAAAGTTTGGGATTTTTTGAAATGTTTTTTTAGTTTTTAACATGGTTAGTAGATAAAATTTACAAGATAGAAAACCCTGAAA